AATAAAAATCAAAAGATAAAAACAAAAAGGGAAGGCGGTGGATGCCAAAACGAAATCAATCCAATTGAAAGAAAACAAACACATTAAACACACGAAAGAAAATGAGACAGAAAGAAAGAAAAAGAAAAAAAAAGGGACAAGAAGAAGAAAGAAGAAGAAGAAAAAAGGGAAAAATTTGTCAATGTGTTAGGAATTAAGTGCTCTATCCTATTAGACTCGAATTTCTCAATTTTGAAAGGTAAGTAAAAAATTACTTATTGTTAAGTTATGTTTGATTTTATAGTTGTTAGATTGTTGGGTTAAACTTAATTTTATTGAAGGAGTTACGTATAATAAACTATGAAATTGAGTAAAATGAAAGAAAAATTAATTTTAGTAATTAAAGAGACTTTAGAAGTCGTCTAAACGTGAAATAATTAAGTTTGTGTATCGCCTATTTAATTAATAGAATTTCTTAAATTAGTTAATTGTTGATTTTAAAATTATATTATATTTCATGCGGCGATATGGATATCGGGACAGCGTACCAATTGAGTTGATTTTGGCGTACATAGTTCTGTGAGTGGAAAAATATAAATATTTTTAAAGTATTTATAAATTAAGAATATTGTTAAAGTATGCGCAATTATGTGTTCGAATTACATGATTATTATGGAAATCTCTTTTATTATGATACATGTGGAATATCAAAGATTATTTATGGCATATTTGTGACTTGGTATATAAAACATGTGATATTGTGATTTGTTTGGTATGTGAGACATGCAATATTGAGATCACTTAGAAAAGTACCCATGATTATATACATCTTCTAGTTCACAGAGGGGTCTTGAGAATGTTCTATCCTACACAGAGGTTTTGACCTGACATTGGTCTTGATCGTGTACATATAGTTCACAGAGGGGCCTTGACCATGTTCTAGAATTGATTATGAGAGGTTTTTGAGATCGGCTTTCGTTCACGGAGAGGGCTAAAAGCCCGTAGCGAAAGTTCTTAGTCTGAGAGGCGAATTATATATTTCAGTCAGAGGGTACATTTTTTGTGGATTTTTCAGCACGTTTGCTGTGATGAGATTATAACATGTTTATCAGCTGATGTTATATCATGATTTTAAGATGATATTTTTATGATCTTATATGAATATTTCATTTTTTTTACTATAATTACATGATGGTACCTTGTGAATTATCAAATGATATGAATTTGATTTTCAATAAAAATGTATAAATGTATAAGTATATTTATTTTGAATTTCTCCATTCACTGAGCTATCAATTCATATATTTTTCCACGTTTTCCTCATCAGGCAGCAGTTGATAATCTGGGCATCTTTTGGAGTTGAGCCTTGATTTTGGAGTCAGAGCCACACGACAGAGTTTGTTGGTATGACTCACTTCATTGAACACGTAGTCAGTATTTTGGGACGCATGTTTATGTCTAGATGTGATGTTGCATCACTTATAGGCTCACTGTGTATTATGTATCCATATGTATATTTCATTGTATTTCTTGATAAAAGTAGAGATTTCGGATTATCTTTATTGTGCTGTGCTAGAGTTTGAGATTTGTGTGAAATTGATCGTAGGTTGGTTAGTCCTGTTTACAGGGGAGATAAATTTTGTTAGAAAAATAATGTATAAAAAGTGATATATTGTATTTGTAGTAGCCTTGATGGTGGGTCCGATTTTTAATTGGTATCTATCATCGGCGTATGCCATGTCCGGATCTAGTGGTGTTACACGGGGCGGGGTGTGTCATTCATTCTCCAATACAGGTTTTTACTGAAGAGGAGAAACCTCCTCTACCTTGTTCTTACCTACAGCCTCTATTTATTTATGAGGAAGGATAAGGTCCTCGTTTTTTTGGAGGGAATACAGGCACTCGTTATGGTAGATGAGTAAAAAAAAAATTTCGAACATCTTGCCAATGATGTTACGATTCAATTCCGGCTCCTTTGCCAGCTATCTAGGGAGCCAGATAAAGAAGCAAAGTGGCAAGATGTTAGGATTCAATTTCGACTCTTTTGCTAGCTATCTTGAGAGCCAGATAAAGAAGCAAAGTCAAGTGTTTGGGGTTGTGTTCTTGGTGATCTCGGTTAAAGTTTTCGTCAATTCTAACCTAGCACCCTCAAGCTTAGATGCTCCACAAAAAGTGGTGGGGAACATCTCCCTAGTGACCACTCCAGCAAGAGAGTAGTAGAGGAAGACGTTTTTGTACTTTTACAGTAATATATGCAAATTAGTTAAAATAATTGAGAATAAAACTTCGTTACGTATTTTTTAAACCATACAAAATAGATAAGAGTCGTCTATTAATAAAATTCATACAAAATACTAATAGACATAGATGGTTGTGTTCAGGAAATTGCCTTGTTTTGCAATAAGCAGAGCGCCACAGAAGACATGCTACACTATGATCAAGACTTTCTGTAATGAAACCACTCCCAGTTGACCCACTTTTCCTTGTGAATTTTTGTCTGGAGAAGCTCGGGGTCAGCTAGGCCAAAGTCTCAAATTTGGAGATTTCATTTCTTTCAATTATGTGGTTTTAGGGGGAATTCGAATATACAGAAGAAATCAGTTATAGAAACTTATACAATTAGATCAACTCTTCGTAGACAAACTTGAAGCAATAATGGTAACGGGAGAATAAGTATCGGTTAACTCTGTGCTAGTAGCCGCAATAAGACAAGATGCAATCATTATCCTAAATGATTGGACAGTGATATGCAGTGGTGAATCTAGGACTTCGACTCAGTTAGGACGGTCGTTGATCGTTGGCCGTTGTATGTCGATAATTAACGATCGTATGGCGATATCGTTTATTAATATTAAATTAAATAATATTAAAATTTCTTCGATCTATATGTAAATATACTAAAACGTAAAAATCATATATTTATATTATATTATATTTCCATACAGTCCGAAATAATATAAATTACATGATACATAAAATTTCTTTATGTTATCAATACTTAACAAATCGTTTGCTTGGCTAAAAGTGGTTGAGAGATTAGGTACACCACTACAAAAATTAGATTAAAATTCAGTTGAAAAAATATTCCATAATTAGTATGAGAATTGAACGTTAATCAAAGATTAAACGTAATTAAAAGTAATTTTAAAATATAATTAAAGTTTCAATTTTCAATTCTCAACACCAATTTATCACAAATTATAAATTCCCCAATTTCTCATTTTTAATTTTCATGAATCAAATATTCACATTTCACGATACTCAAATTAATTTTTTATATCACAATTCATAATAGACAAATTCTCAAATAACATATAAATTAAAACTTAATACTCATAAGTCATATCTTATAAATTATTAAAGCATAAAATATTTAAAAAGAAAAAAATCGAAAAAAAAACTTTTTGTAAAGTCTTAACATATATTATTTTGTTAATTTTAGATTCAAAATTCAACCATTACCATGATGGTTAAGCTTCCAATCATCATAACTCTAGAAGTTATAGGTTCGAATCCTTTCCTTAGGAAACTAATTCTGGTAAATATTGTAAAAATAAAAATTTTACACAATGAAATGGAGGGAAAGGAATCGGACACAAGACTCACAATATATAAAAGGAAGCTCTAATCTACTAAGCAGAAGAAAGGTTTGAAAATAAAATAAATTACCAGTTGTATAACCTAAAATTTTTATCTATTACCAACAAAAAAAATTTCTCCCCGACGAATTCAGCTAGGACGGCCGCCCTAGTTGGCCACATACTAGATCCGCCCCTGGACTAATATGTATGGACGACGATGCATGGAACAAAGAATGGCATGGAACACGCCTCCCGGGGCACAGCTCAACTGGTGGATCAATCAACATTGGCTTGCTTTCAGCGGCAGGGTGGAGAGTTCGATTCCTGGTGGGAACTCGCGGCCAAAATTTTGGTATGGAGCAATCACTGTGGAGGAGGGTCTCTTGTGCGCAGAAGTGTACAGTCAATGGGGGGAACTTGTGATCCAGTTGAGGCATATCCCTCGATTTAACCCCTCCAAGGTTCTAGGGGCATGGGTCTTGGAGGTCCAAAATTTAGTCTGATGTAAGTTATGATACCTGGATATCAAAAAAAAAAAAAAAAGTGAATGGCATGGAACAAAGAACGGTACAACCGTTGGAAAGTGATTCTATATACGTGAGCACAGTGGAGGCTGGTTGAACTTCATGTCAGCAGCAGAAGCACCAAAAAGGGTAGAAATATTTTCTTCCATCACATGGCAGGAAGCTCAATGCAATTTGTTAGATTAACGGGTTATTCTTCTGTCTAAGCTAGCAGTTCGTAGCTGCGTAATCGATACTCTTGTACTCGTATTTTTTATTTTATTTTATTTTTTTTTTCTTTTTGCATTTTTTTTAATTTTAAACTAAATTATTGACGGAAGAAAATAATAAAAGTGCTACAAAGATATCAATATAGTTGAGATAACCCGATGCGTATAATTGAAAAAAGTTATCCGACTGTAGTAGAATCAGTCCCCCACTTCTTAATTGAATTTCAACAGAAATACTACTCGAAAATCCCAAGTTGTCCAAGTACACAATTCATTTGTTACTCCACAACTATTAGCAATACAATTCGACATTTGAATTTAAAGCAACCTTATAAGACCATAAGCTACGAAAACTAGATTGTATTGTGCGTGAGTCACACAGGATGACCCACTCTATTGTGCATGTTTATTAAGTCTAAGTACTTAAGAAGTATAATCAGTATTTTTAAATTCAATATGGGCATGAATTCCAAGAAGGTCAAGGATATGTTATGAAAGGTCAAAGAGTACACATATGTACTATAATCTTGATGAGTGATTTACGCGAACCTTTGTTCCCAGGCTCGATCAAGGTGCCAAAATGAACATAAACGAAAATAGTGTTACAAGGCGTTATTCACTCCATTGCAGTGCTAGTTATGTCAATTCAGTGGACCGGAAAGATGTTACAACAAAATCCATTAGCCGAATATGATCCACACGCGCCACCATTGGATGTGGGTAAATCACCAACCCACTTAATTCATCTCTCAAACCCGAACAATCTGAACCGTCCATTCTCATCCCATAATCGTAACGCCAAAATCCTAGCCCTTGGATTTCGCGTGCCCGACCCTCTCATGTACTTTCCTACCCTCCTCGGCCGCCTATCTCCTCCATTGTTAAAGACTCAGAAAATTTCTTCAGCAGGTATGGTTTCAATGCCCCAGCTTAGCTAAAGTTGTTTTAAAATATTTATTTATTATATGTATATAATTCATCGACTTTTGTAAAACTTTTGCTATATATATATTGATATATCAGTCAGCTCTTTTTGCAAAGCTAGTTTGTGTGTATGTGTGTGGTGTGTGTGTAAAAGTTGTACATACTGAAAGTCAAGGTTTTCTTGAAGTTCTGAGGAGTGTGCAAGGTGGGTTTTTGGGACAATGTTGGGTGGTGGAAATGAAGGGTCTAAAGAAAAGAAGAAGGGGGCAGAGAGTAAAGTTTATACGAGAAAACCATTCAAAGGGCTTAAAAATAGTAAAAATTTGTCAAAAGAACAACAGCCAAAAACCCAAGAAATGGTTCCCGAGGGGTTGAATGTGACGAAAAGATTATCTAATTCCTGTGTTGATGCTGCCTCGGATAATTTTTCGGGTTTAAATCATGATGGGTTGGTAGGGAATGGCGGGATTTTGAGGCCGGAGAATAGTGTTACCATAAATTTGTCGATGAAGTCGAAACAGGAGGCACGGGAGCTGAAGAGGAAGCTGGAGGGTGAGCGGAATATGGTTTGGAGTTTGATGAAGAAGATTGAGGTGAATGAGAAGCAAATAAATGATCATGTGTTTGATAAGAGCTCTGGGAATAACGTGCCTGTGGGACTGCCTAGCATGTTAAAACCATTGAATCAGTTAAGTGTGTCAGTAGTTGAGGATAGTCAGGGTGGGAATGAGAATGTGGTGAAAGAGAAGAGGACCAATTATGATTTTTTCCTTGCAAAGGATAAGTTTCCTTCTGCAGAAAGTAACAAGAAACTGAAATCAGATGGGAAGAAGGGAGGAGGAAGTGAATTGGGCAATAGTTTTGGAGTGGAAAAGTTTTCGAATAAACTTTTTAAGAGTTGCAGTGCGCTGTTAGAGAGATTAATGAAGCACAAGCATGGTTGGGTGTTTAACAAGCCAGTTGATACAGTTTCTCTTGGTCTGCATGACTATTTTGATATTATCAAAAATCCTATGGACCTGGGTAGTGTAAAAGCTAAGCTGAACCAGAATGTGTACAAATCCCCCTTAGAATTTGCTGAGGATGTGAGGCTCACATTTCGGAATGCCTTGACTTATAATCCAAAAGAGCAAGATGTTTATATGATGGCTGAGCAATTGTCTAAGATATTTGAGAACAAATGGGCGAGTATAGAGGCTGATTATATGCACGAGTTGAAGCTTTCTGGAGACATTGAAGTGGGTTCCCCTACACCTACATCTCGGAAGGCTCCTACACAATCACGACCATTGCCTGATATGAGAAGAGTTCTCAATAGATCAGAATCAATGACACATCCTATTGATCCTCAACGAAGATCTACCAATCTTGTTCGATCTGGCAGGATTGCTACAACAAAGAAGCCAAAGGCGAAGGATCCTAATAAAAGAGAGATGACGTTTGAAGAAAAGCAAAAACTCAGCATAAATTTGCAGAGTTTACCTTCTGAGAAGCTCGAAAATGTTGTTCAGATCATTAAAAAGAGGAATCCAGCTCTTTCACAATGTGATGATGAGATTGAAGTTGATATCGATATTGTTGATACTGAAACTCTTTGGGAGCTTGATAGGTTCATAGCAAATTATAAGAAGAGTTTGAGCAAGAACAAAAGAAAAGCTGAAATTGTTACTCAATTAAAAGATGGAGCTCAGCAGAATCCCCAGGAAACAGTAAGTTAACTTATTTGTTCTCCACTGCCCGCGCGCCCTCCCATCTTCAAGTATGTTTAGGTTATTGATTAATGCATTTTCCTTCCTTTTATGTAGATTCCATCTCCGGTAGTCACTGAAAGTCCAAATGAGTTTAAAGAAAATAAATCAGGTGGAAGTTTCAAGAGCATGGATATTTTTTGGCATGTATTAAAAGCTGTAAACTTGATGATAATTATTTTCTTTCTTTTTCTATCTGCAACAGATGAAAAGAATGTTTCCTCGCCTCTAGCTCAAGTGGGAAAGCTGAGGGGTAATGACGCAAATCAAACAGCCAACACAAGTGACTCTAACCCTGATTCAGGATCTTTGTCAAGTGGTATAATCAATACTTATTTTTTCTTATTTTCTGCACTAGTTTTTGAGTAATAGTAATGCAGTTAATTCTTTTGTTTGAGTAGTAGATATGCATTTAATTCATGTTTTTTTATGAAGTCAGTCTGCTTAAATCACTGATTTCATTGTATTAATTACAGATCCGGATAGTGAAAATACCTCTGGATCTGGATCTGATGCTGGACGTACCCCAAATAATTGAATTGTTGAGGTATAATATTCTTTTTACAGACTTTTAGAAGCCCTGACTGTTTGCATTTTGCTGGAGGATTACTCTTTTCTGATCATTTTGTATGGTGCATTTTCTAGTAAAGTCAAGTTTTTGGCCTACTTGCTTGCCTTTGTTTGTGTGCAGAAGTTCTAGGGCATCTCTATTTTACTACTCACCATGATGTAGAGGAGATAATTTGGTTGCTTGTATTCAGGCACTTGTTGCTAAAATAATCTGTTAAACATGAACTACATATGACAATAATTTAGTGTCTTTTGTACCATGTTTGTAATTAACAAATTATGAAGTGTTGGCAGGATATTGCCTAAAATAGTACGAATCTTTTGTTCAATTTCAAAAATCACGTTCCTTGGCATTATGGCATATTGCTTACCCCTGTTTTAAATTATTCAAAATCTGTTTCTAAGAAAAATTTGATTCTAATGTAAAGTTGATAGGATATTGATAATTCAACATGAATACTGCACATCCTTATTTCTTCTTTTACAAAATTAGTGAAATGGTTAATTACTTTTTGCATCTCAGTGAATAATTAAAAGTGTTCACAACTCTAATATGCAGTTATGAGTCATATATATGACTGAACATTGACACAATGACACGTTACTTCTCAAATAATTAAGACACAGACACATCTTATACATTAAATTTACTATTTCTTTCTTTTTTTACTTCTAAAATTTTCAATAATATTAATTCTCATTTTTAATGCACTATTTTGGTTCTTTTTAGGTGAAATCTTTTGAATTTGAAGAATGACTATTTGTTGTATTGAGACATTGACATAGAAGCAATTGAAAAGAATGAGATTGAGAAAGAAAGAGGAATAGAGAGGAGAAGAAATAGAAGAGGGAGAGAATAGAGAATTTTTATGAAGAAAATATCAATATATTCTATTTTAAAGTCTAACTATTATAATAAATAAGCCCATTCTATATAGGGTGTAGAATAGTCTAATTTAAGTAGTAAAATACTAGAAAATATTTTAAATAACACCCTGATCATGTTTCGTAATAAAATATTAGAAAATCTATTAAAAAAAGCTAATTATGTTTTCTGAAATAAGTATCTAATTTGGAAAGTAAATTAAATAATATCTCGACTAGGATTCCCATCAGATATCTTTACATTATACATTGTATTACTAGTCAAACAAAAATGTTTTCATGTATCAAAAGGGCATATATTAGATGTAAACATAATTCATAATGATATAATTATTTTCACATTTTTTTAACGTTTTTACTCAAATGTTATAGTAATTGAAATTTGCTTAATTTATGTTCAAAAATTACGAAATGAGGTTTTCCGTGTCATTAACATATTGGGGCCATGTTTCTCACGTGTTGTAAACTAAAGAACTACAAAAAAAAATAGGACACAACGTATTTGCTTACACATTGGAGTCGTGTTGTGGTGTGTCATGCTTGTTGGAATTCTTAAATTTTATAAAAAAGTAGCATATTAAACAAGTTTCAGTATCTCCAAGACATTTTAGTAGTTAGTACATGTAACTCCAAATTCGACTCTAGGAGTGCCCTTGCACCTTGCTTTGTAGTTCTATAACATACTCCTTTATTATATATTTTTGTTTAAACGTCACGCCCGTAGCTCATCTGTAGAGAAATGATCAATCAAGCTTTTATAACTTGTTGATATACATATTGCAAATTTTTAAGATACATTTAACTTGTCCAGAAAGTATATATAATTAGACTTGTAGTCAGATTTGGGTTAGAGATTTTTAGAATGAAACCATTTTTCTTTTTGTTATTTTAGTTCTATAGCTGTTAGTTATTTTTTTGCACTTCATTACGATCTATAAAGCATTTGGCATACACACGAGCATTAAAATCACTTTATCATGTTTTAGTTAGTTTTTAAGCATTCCACTGAGTTAGCATACTAATGATTAAAAATATGATCTAATTTGTGCTTTTGGCATCTAATTTGTGCTTGTGGTGTTTGTGTGTGTCTATTCTGTTTATGGATTTAAGAATCAACGTTTCAGAAGGCAAAGGTGTGTCGTAAGGCATTTTACTCCCCTTGGACCCACCTACCTCTTATTTCCTTCTTAGGGGTTGAAAACTTCTGGGTTTTACTGGCATTTGCAAAGGAAAGGAATACCAGATGATATCTAACACGGTACAAGTTTTCAAATATTGGCAGTAGAAGTGAATCCTTTCTAATCCGTCCTATTATCCTTTGTTTTGTGGTAAATGACAAAACTTTGCTGAGAATTCTTTTGTTCCTTTTCCTGGAATCTGGTGCACAAGGTTGACTTTATGGCTTAAAAGGTGATAGTATATTATGCGAAACCATGGGCTGGTTAATCTATGAAAGGGAACTTTACTAGGGATATCCCGTGCTGACATGCACATAGAAGACACATCATCTGCCCCTTCATGTCGTTTACTTAGGATGAGGCAAGTTTAGCTCCTGATCTTACTCTAGCTCTTCTTCAATTGCGCTTCGCTGCACCCTGCATGGCTTAAAAGGGGGATCATATTTTATGGGAAACCATGGGTTGGTTATTCTATGAAAGGGAACTTTATTAGGGATATGCCATACTGACATTCACATAGACAGACACATCATCTTCCCCCTGCATGTCGTTTAGTTAGGATGAGGCAAGTTTAGCTTCTGAGCTTACTCTAGCTGTTCTTCAATCTCTCTTCGCTGCACCTTTGGGTTTTCAGATTGTTGATACACAATGCCCAAACTACATTATATGGACCCACAATCTCCAGCAAACTATGAAATAATTGAGTCATACATAACTCCTAAGATGCAATTGTTAATGTCGTTGCATCATGAGTTTGTTTTGATGTCTTACAGGCTATTCTTTAGAAAAGGGACAATTGTGTGAGGTAAAGAAGAAGACTTGTTACATGTTGCTGAAGATTGGAGTTGGATGACATTTGGACTATTGGTTGTTATTCTTCTTTTTTTCTTTGGTAATTCAGGGGAATTTATATTTCCATCGAAATAAATTATCATTTTTTTTTATCAAGTATAACTTGCAAAGTTCCTACAATATAGTAAATAACTGGTGTTTGTTCAGCGAAAACCCTGTTACAAATATAGTTTGCAGATGGCTCATTTGGAGGTTTCCTTGAAGGTTGAATAAAATATTTACGTAACTGGATGATGTTGTGATAATCACAATCTCTTGTTTCTAAATTAGCTATTGGTTTAGCTGAATGATAACGACTGAATTGGGAAGCCCAAAGAAAAGCTTTTGGTGCTACGAGAAACAAGGACCCATTTTGACGTGAACCCACATAGTAATTGTAGCTCTGAAACCCATAAAAGATTGAATCAATTCAAGAAAGCCAAAAAATCAAACTTTAGAGTTCGATCCAAAAATATTAAACTAAAGAACCAACACAATCGCCGACAATATGTTGATCCCATGATTACAAGATTCAAAAATCTCACCTAGATTATTTGAACGCCACGAAAAATAAATCTTGATAAGTTTAGAAGTTTAGTTCAATGAAGAACAAAATTGAAAGCAAAATATGCTCACAAATAATCTCTCAATTGTATATATGATAAAAGTTGTTCTACAATGAAAATAACGAGTTTTGTTTATAAGAAACTCATAAACCCTTGTTAGAAATGGAATATATGTCCAAAAAAAAAAAAAAAAAAAAAAAAAAAGAAATAGATTTAACATAAATAATAAATTTTCGTAAACCTAGTTAAAACGAAATCAAATTCTAAAGATTATAAAAGATACTAAAAATACAAAGTTTTAACTAAATTAGGAGATTTCGTGAATTTTGGAAAATTCATGTCTCCAATTTGTACTATGCAGTCGCATAGGCTTCCGTCTTGCCTCCAAGTTTGAGTTCTTGATTCAAATGTTGTTTCTGCTCCTTGTTCAACATGAAACTTGGTCTTTGGTTTGTTAATGTCAACCTCTTGATAGCTAGTTGCTTTCCTTGGATCCCATTATTTCCTTCCTCTTTGAAAGGATTTAATCCCGAATCTGTACTTGCATCAAAGAGAGCAAGATAAGAGATATCGAAAATGCAAATTATCACAAACTTACTTTGAAGATCCAAATTGTGGCCATTGTTTTCAATCTTTGCAATGACGTGGAATGGTCCATCTTCTCTAGGATGAAATCTTGACCTTCTTTACTGTTGAATACGTTCTTTTTCTTAAGTACCCAAACCTAATCACCTGGTTTGAATACTTTACGCCTTTTCCCTTTGCTATCTTGAG